TTGTTGGGAGAATCCAGGACTGGGGCTAGCAGATCAGGATACTCAAGATTCATCTTGAAGTCCAGTGTTTGAGTCTACAGAATTGTTATTGTCAGTTAGTAAGATCAGATTCAGGTGAGGAATAAAAAGAACCGCTCGTAAGTGAACTGTCATTTATTTTCTTCCCCAGCTGAGCCATATCTCTGACACATATGTCCTGCATCTGCAGCAGGAGATTGAGGTGACCAACCTGAAGCCAGGCCATGTCAGGGTCTATGATTACTACAACCCAGGTCAGTGTGGAACCATGGGGTGCCAGGGCTGCCTGGGTGTTTGCACTGGGCTCTGTGCAAGGATAACTTAGATCTCTCCTGTTCTGTCGCAGAGGAGCAGGCCCTGGCTGACTATAATGTCTTCTGCATCTGAGGTAGGTGCAAATCCCCTGCTCAGCCCCCTGTACAGACCTTCCTCTGCACCTCATCCACTTCTCTGTGTTCCACTGGAGCCCTGTGTATCTCTGATTCAGCATGTTCCCTTAATCTAGGACTGTATCTGAAACTCCCTAAGCAGAATTCATGGTACCAGTTTCAGCTTATTATATTTGGGTATGGAGAGTTTCTCTTCCTGGGGAGGGGCTGAAGTAAAACAAAGGTAGTGGATCAAATAAAAAAAACCTTTCCTTTAGAATCCCTAATAAGAGCCTGTGCTCCCTAGCTGTTAGCATCCCAAAGTTAATAATTTGGGTCACATTATTTGCTCTCTGAGTTACTCTCTCTTTTGTTGTCATTTCTCCAGGGACTTGGACTACTTCATTACTGTCCACTGCTTCAGCTCACAGGGATCCCTTAGTGCAAGATGCCTTAGAACAGTGGGGATGCTGCATTATTTCTCCTGGTATAATGAAACACCTGGAAAGTCACATCTCAGGCTTGAGATTTTGCTGCTGGGACACATCTCAGGTTGGATTTCAGGACTAACTCCAGCCTAACCTATGCTGCTCATCCTGACAGCCATTATCTGGTGAATTTTTTGGGGTGTCTAATTAATTCTGATTGTTTTAATCTGGGATTTTCTTGCTTGCAAAAAAAAAATTGAAAATAAAATACAAATCACAAATCTGGCTACTGTGGTGTGTGTTTGGACTCTGTGACAGCCTTTACCAGGGAAGAGTGAGCAGAAGCAAACTCTGTATCTCAGCCCTGTCAGTGGCATTCATTTCCTCCAGCAGTGTTGTGCAGCCATCAGTATGAGGTGAAGACTAGTCCTGCATGGAGACTGATCCCACTGGGCATCATCTACTGCACACAGATGTAGCTGAGCCATAAGGTCTTGGCTGCAGGTCCACTGTATGTGGATGTAAATCTACCCTGCTGTATATATCACAGACTGACTGTCCTTCTGGCATAGAAAGCAGGAAGGGAGTGATTTTAGCTTCTGCACCTCCTATGGAGCTGGATCTTGCACAGGACAAGTCAAATATGAGTTGCCAGGAAGGGGTGGTGCCCTGGGGTTGAACCCGCTGCTAATGAGCAAGGAAAGTAAGCAGGGTCTTTGCTGCTCCACAAGGAGCTGGACAGCCAATTCAACAGCCAAAGAGTATGTGAAAATTCAACATCTATCACCGCTTTTTAAAATCAAACCTCACCATTTAAGTACTGGTGATCACAGGTCTTTTAGGTTGACAGTGACAATTCTCTGTATAAACAGGTAGATCTCCTCAGACCCTCCCCAGAGCTGGCTGTAAGAGTGTGATGGCTAAGTGCAAAGGCAGGCTTAAGAGTGGAGGGCCTGCAAGACAAGTGAAGGTTGAGGGTCAGGATTTGCTTACAGCCCTGAAAGCTCTCCCTACCCTGCAACAAGGCTGGGATTTGTGGTGGTTTAATGGGAGGGATTTGGAAAGTGTACTTAAATTTTAACTGTGATACTCCAAAGTAATAGTGAAGACTCAGCAAGTCCTGTCTGTGAGACAAAGAATGTGCATTTCAAGTTTGTTTGAGAGTGAACACACTGAGATGTGCCAGCAAGGCAGGCTGCTGACAGCCTGCTCTCTGCTTCATGTGCAGTTTGACAGGGCTGGAATGGAAGCATGAGCAGCTGGATGGCAGCAATACCTCATGCAGCGCCAGAAGTGGCTGAGATGATGTTGCAGGTGTCACTCTCGCACCTTTATTTGAACAGGTGCTTTTCCTCCTCTCTTTATTCCATTTCCTCAGTAGTCCATGAGCAATGCAGGTCTCAACTCTGCAGAACAGAATTTTTAATTGTTTTCTTTGAAACTTTTAAAAAACATTTTTGCAAATATTTCTGCTTTCTTTGCAAATGTCACCTCTCTGCCTTGCCTTTACCACTGACAAAGTCTGTCCTTGCTGATATCAAAAAGCAGAACTGGAGCTAGTCAAGCCTACAGCTGTTACTGACATTTGGAGAATACACTGCCTAGAGCTTGGAGTCTTGCAGAGAGGGAGGAACTTCACCTACTACTGCCAATGCCACCATGTTCTTATAATGTTTTGCAGAGCTTAGCAAAGCAGAAGTCTGAGAAAAATCCCCATCACAGAGGTTTATTCAGAAAACAACTTCTGTGGTGGCTGTACACACACAGGAATCCAGCCTACCCTTGCTGACACCATGAGGGGTAGCTCATGCAGGAGCCCATTACTGCAGGAGGTCACACACAACCCCTCACTACTCCTAGGTGTATGTGTACACACACTCTGTGTAAAAATTACACAGTGTCACTTTTGACTCAATATCCATTGTAATCTCTATTCCACTTTCTTAACAACTCTTCTGTGTCCTTTAAAATGTTCTTTATGAGATTTAAACAGTAATACCTGTGATGTCTGGATACTAGAGAACATTTGGAAGGAGGTAGCTGTCTTCCAAGAGACTTTAGACAGGGGAAAAAGCACTTTTCTACAAAACACATATATTTATTTTATTATTTATCTCTCTGGCTTAAACATCCCCTTATCTGCTTAGAGCAGCAGATGTCAAACATTCCAGTCATTTTTCTACCCTTTACAAAATTGAGGGGTTGTGGTGATCCAGGCTGGAGCTTGATGGTGTGCATCCTTCCATTTAGCTTGTGATCAGCTCACTGCCTGAGCACTGAGAACTGCTGCCTTCCAGGGACACAGATCCACTATGGACGTGCCTCTTGCCTGTCTCTGGGCCAGCTGATGAATGGATCTGTGGGCTGGGGAAAGATCTTAGCATGGGACAGCACCCAGGTACTGTGTGCCCTGTCACCAAGTCCTGGGGGGTGCAGAGCCCTGCTAAGAGGTGATCCCTTCCCCAGTGCCTCCTGCCCACCAGCAACTGGTCACTTTGCTGGTAGTAGGAGATGGAGATAGGACTGAAGCATATGAATCACACACACCAAGCCTGCCAGTTTGTTTTTGTTGCTCCTACATTTATTTAATTCTGTTTCATTGGGAGTTAGGTTGGATTGGGTGCTCAGGGTTTAGTTTTCCAATCAGCGCCAAACCCAAAACTTCAGAGGTGTTTAAATGTCTGTTCTCACAAAGCAGCTGCTGGAGTCAGGGGAGTCAGGATGCTCAATACCTTTGCCATTGTGAGCCCCTGTGCTGCTATGAGGGATCTGGCTGTCCCCTGGAATTGCTGTGGATCTACTGTGAACAAACAAATGTCAGCTGGGATTGTTCAGTAGGCACTGCCTGTACTTTTTGAGACCCATGGAAAGAAATGAAGGGCATCTTAGTGTCAGAATGATTCACATTCTTGCTCCGGTTCCTGTTTGCTTGTTTGTCCAGGTGCATTTATGCATTTTTCCAACTGCTGGCACCAGCAGCTCTGACTGAACAAAGCCCACGGAGAGGGAAAGGAGAAGGAGGGGTTGTATCTGCCCATTACGTGTGTGTGTGCATGAGTGGGTAAAAGAAAGCCCCAAAGCCTAGTTCTCTTGTTATGGTCAGCCTGTACTAAAGAAAAGGAAAATATTACTAAGCCCTACATCTTTAAGAGATCAGTTTGGTACCAAAGAATGTGGTACATTTTGATATGAAATTACCTTGATACTAAGATTGAAGAACTTCCTTATTTTGGGAATAAGTAGTTTCAAGAACCAGATTCTCTTTCCAATTATGGTAAGATACTGAGGGAAAAGTTCAGTACAATCAGTTGACTAACATATATAAAATTAGCATGTGGAAAGAAGGCCCCAGACCAGATAGTGCATGTTCCCATCACCTAGGGCTCGAGCACAGCTAGGCAAGACCCTGTAGGACTTCAGCCATGCAGATTTTGACCAATGTTTAGCCCTCGTTTCCTCCACTGGTGAGGGTGTGAGTAGGTTGGCCAGGACTGGAGCACAGAGCAATGCGATACAGCTGGGGTAAGTTACAGCTGGGGCAAGTTACAGCTGTTCAGTTTTCTCTTGAAACTTGAAATATCTGTAGGGCAGAAGCAAGGTGAAGCCTCCAGCTCTGCTTGCTCCCTGTGCTTTCCTCCTCTGTGAAGGAGCAGTGAGCTATGCAGATATCCTGAATCTGTACAAAGCCTGGTCTCCATTTCAGGACTGGGACCTGCCTTGGGTGCTACAGACTCAGAAAGCCGGGGGACAGTATGACCACAGAGCTCACAGTGAGCTCCAGCTGGGTGCACATGCCAAGGGGTCATGGGACAATCCAGCTGGAGGCAAAACAATGGGACTTAGGCTGTAACTGGCCCAGGGAGCAGGGGCAGTGCAGTGAACAGGAAACAGGCTGCTGTTTGGCAAAATAAAAGGCACATTTGTCTGAATGATGTTGGTCCATCCATAGGGGAGTAGAGGCACAGTGAGGCTGGAGTCCAAAAGGACTTGGATTGGCTGGGGAACATCCTGGACAGTACAACCCTGTGCCTGCAGCACTATAAATCCAGGAAAGAGGTGGAGGGAAGGAAACCTTCTGGCTTTGTGTCTGTGTCCTGGAGACTTTGGAAGGAGAGGAGCAGCACCCTACTTTCTCTCTTGAGCAGGCCTCCCAAGGAATCCACCCCTTTGGGGCTCTCCCATGAAAATGTGGATTCCCTTCCTCCTGAGCTGCCTGCTCTACACCCTGGGGATAGTGGCACAACCGTAAGTGCCATTTAAAAATCTAGTGATTATAGCTGTGGATGCTGAGGGAGAGGCCAAGACAGCAGGGAGAGAGTATGGGACTCTGTGTGTCACCTCCTGGAAGGGCTGGACATGGGGTGGGGTGCAGAGCCTTGTTGTGAAAGCAGGGTCCTCCTGAAGGTGAGAACCTCTCCCATGGATATCTCTGCAGTACCAGAGCTAGGTGGGCACTGGTGGTGGGAACAAGAGGGAGGGATATGAGGTATGAGGTGGGATGAAGGGAAAGGTGTAGGATAAAGTGAAGTGCAAATGAAAAGGGCTGCAAGGCAGGGGATGGATAAGCAGGAACCAATCTGCTGTCAGGGTAGTTGAGGAGCCATGTCAAAGCAAGAAGAGCAAATTCTGTTCTGTCACCTGAAAGTATTCATCTTGTATTTATCTGAAATGAACTCTTTACCTTCCATCCTGCCCCATGCAAGGTTCACACTCTGGCAATCTGTCCCAGTCTCTCCAGTAGAACAGCACCTCCTAATCTCAGAGAGATGGCAAACTCTCCTGTTGCCTCAGGCCAGCCTTTTAGTGCCAAGAGTGGGTAAGAGGGCTCCCGGGATGTGATGCTATCTTGTTTCCCCTACTGCAGGAGGTACCTGATCATCATTCCAGCTGCCCTGCCCTACCCCTCATCCCAGAGGGCATGCTTGGACCTTCGTGGTGTTGAAAAGCCTGTTCGTGTGGCCTTAACTCTCGTGCACCCATCTGGCAACCTCAGCCTGTACCGCAAGGTCGTCCGGAGTGACTGGATCTTCGAGTGCACCAGATTTCAGGTCAGAGTCATTCTTGGCAGGGACCCCTAGCTGGCAGCTCACAACGTGCTCATCACCAAAGAAACAGAGAATGAGGAAGACAGAAGAAGATAAGAGGGCATGGAAAAGAGTGAATGCACAATCAGGGGGAGGGTTTAGTGGCAGCCCTGTGGCTTTGCTGCTTGTCTTTGTCTGTCCACATGGTACTCTTCCTGTAGGATACCCTGGTGGCACACTGAGGAAAGGCTGCCTGGCCAGGCAGCAAAGCTCTGAGGAGGGTGGATAGCTTAGAAGCACCCAAATGGCAGTCACACAGCTTATTCTCTCCCCTGAGGAGGATGCACTGTCACAGCGTGTTGTTTGTGAATCTGTGATGCAGAAAGAGCCAGACCCCTCATCTCAGACAGCTTCCCTCATGTCTTCTTCTTCCCAAGCTTTTCTTTCTGGGCTTGAAAATGTCCTGGAGGACTAGGAAAGTCATGGGAGGGTGTACACACAAGCTCAGCATAAATCTTCCTTATTTGCCAAACTCATGATCCTCATTTTCTTAGTTTGCACTGATAATAAGATGGGATTTCAGTCTCTGTGACCCTCACACTCTAGGAATTCTCATCACCATAGACCTTTTCTTCCCTTGAGTTAGTCTTCTCCATCTTGCTCCATGCAGATTCTAACAGTGGTCCTGTGAAGGAGTAAACAAAATTTCTGTGTCAGAATAGACTCTTTTTTCTCTTGTCCAAGGTCTATCCCAGCTGCTAAGCATTGTTCCCTGTGCTTCCACAAACACAGCCTTCAGCCACTGAGGGGACACCCTGTGCTGGCCTCCAGAGTAAGATGGCAAAGAGCCTGGCCTTGCAGTGCAGCAGAAGCGAGAAGAGCACTGCTCTGATGCCTGCTAACCTGGTGGCTCTCCTGTTTTGTGTCCAGGTGCCCCGACCTGCAGGCAGCCAGGAGGTGGCCACTGTGCACCTGAGCATCTCCAATGGCCACTACTTCAGTGCAAGTGAAGAGAAAAAGGTCCTGATCCGCAGGGCTGGAACAGGCACCTTCATTCAGATGGATAAGCCCATCTATAATCCAGGCCAGACAGGTGAGCAACACATGGAGCAACACATGGCCTGAGAGTGGCCCTGCCTTGACCCTCCCAGGATTTGTTCTCAATTTCCTGTGAGTGGAGCGCTGAGTGCTTTGTGCTATGTAGGCTCCATGGGGACAGAGGGGAGAGCTGCAGTGAGGTATCCCATGTTTTAGCAGCAGGAGGGGCCTGGGAGGGGAGGCCTCACATGCTCTGGGAGCAGAGCTGGCTTGGAAAAGGGAGCAGACCTGAACATGGTCTTCTTGGCCAAGGCCAGTGGGACTGGTCTGCCTACACTGCAGAGAAGGAAATGTAAGGGTAACCCTGGCCACAGCCCATGGGAAAACCCCTAAATTGTGAAGCAGCTGTGCTGCTGCCACGTGTTTGGGGCAAGCAGAGCTGAGTGGGGCTGAGCAAAGGGTGAGAGGGGCTGCAGGGCAGGCACGGGGCTGCCACTAGGGCTGGGTGTGGGGCTGTGATTCTGGGGTGAGACAAGTGTGGGAAAAGTCCGTTCCCACGTGCACTCTGTCTGTAATGTGCTTTACTCCACTTTCTCCCTCCAGTGAAATTCAGGATTGTGACACTGACTGAAGATTTTGCTCCTGTTAACAGCAAGGTAAAGCCTGTCTAAGTGGAGGCAAGGAAGTCTCCAGACTTCAGATGGTTCTGCTTCCTCTACCAACCCCATGCCAGGAAGACTGGGACAGTCCCAGCACCCAGGGTGGTCAATGCCAACCCTTGAGTCAACAAGATTTGAACAGGAATTCCTGTTGGCTGATGGCTCTGCTGTTGCTGTTATAGGATGGCTGCTGGTTGATGGGAGAGTTGGATGGTATTTGGGCAGTGTGCCAGCATTTCCAGCTAGCTGAGTTACCTGAGTGCACCTGCCCTTGCCAAAAAAGCAGATGGGGCTTCTGGGGACCAGTCTGTGGGCTGCTGGCCATGGGCATAATTATCAAAGTTGTGTACAGACATCACCAGATTTGATGACCCCCTCCCACAGCTCTGGGAAACTCAGTGATTTGTGCAGTGTGTGGCACCTGAGGGTGGCAGGAGAGCCTGAAGCAAGCAGAAACATTTTAAGAAAAATTAATTAATATGGGGAAGGATACACAGGAAGTGATCATAAAAAGAAGAGAGAAAACAGTATAACCAAATTATACTGACTGGCTGCTGGCAGCAGCTCATTGTCCCCATGTCAAGGGAGTGAGAAGTTGCCAGAGACTTACATATGTGGTGGCCAGGAAATTGCAAGGCTAGTGCCATTCTTCAGTAAGCAATTATATCTGCAGCCAGCAGCTATAGCTATTTCACTCCTCAGTCCTCCAGCAATTTAGGGAGAGCCAACAGGAATTCATGCCACGACAATTAAAATACTGAAGGGCACACAGCAGGGGAGTTGGACCAAATCCTTCCAGACTAAAATAAAGGGAGAGATCCTTCCAGCTTCTTTATTTCTGACTTAATTTCTTATTTCTCGGGCTATTAGTGAGGCCCTAGGATCAAACACTCTTTTTTTTCCCCAACAAAGAGGAGGCATATATCTTATATTAATAAGATAATGAAATATAAACAATACATTTGCTTCCATGCCTACAATTGGTTCATGTACATATTTGACTGTAAAGGCTTGATATCTATGTGTGAATACAAACAAATTAACACTGTTACTGTTAATTATGCTGTGATGAAAATTCAAAGAGATTGCGTTTAGCCAAAGCTATTATAAAGGCTTGAGTGCACTGCAGCATAGAAGGTATAATACCTAGATTGTAAAGTAGATGAGTTGAAGTTAATATGGATGCTGTTCACCAGCAGTTTATTCTGCACTTTTTTTTTTTTTATTTCAGTGAAAACAGAGTTGCCTCTGATAACTTGTATGAAAGCTTAGAATGATGAATAATGTGAATTATATGTAAATTGGATGTTTACAGTCTGGTTACTCTCCCAAGCCCTGCTCCTGCCTCATTATGTGTTGTGATCCCATATTAGAGACTCTTCACCAATACTGCCTGGATGATAGATGAAGTGATATAAGAACAAACAGAGAATTAATGTGCCTAGAAGGGCTGAAATGTGTCCTCCTTTGTCCCTCCCTGTTACTGTCAGCTGCAGTCAGCACTAATTCATAATTTCCAGCTTTACCTCCTATGTCAGGGATTTTAAAGGAAGATTTTCTGAGTGTTCTTCCTATAGGTGATGCAGTTTTGCTAATTATTGGGATATATGTTACATACTGAGGCCATTTAATATTTGTGAACTTGGGAGGATGGTATTTGAGAGTCTTCTTACTCTTCCCCATTTTATTGGAGCAAATTCTAGCCTTTATGGTTGTTCAATACCTATCAAAATGCATCATAAATATTCACGTATCAAAAAGCAAATCTGAAGAATAGCATAAATTTTTATTGTTCCTTACTATTTTAAAGCAGTTGTCCTGGTTGCAGTAGGATCAAGTTTCTTGTATCATAATGTTTGTCACAGTACAGAGGCTGGGTGGGTAAGAGAAATTTATATACAAGTTGCTGTGTCATGCCAGTTTTTGACAGTGATGTCTGTTTGCTTTGCAGTACTCCATGGTGGAAATCCAGGTGGGTGTTCCAGACTCCTCAGGTATTATGAGGAAAGATATTTCAGTATGGATAGTACCTAGGATGCTGTCTTAATAGTTCAAGTTACTTTTCTTAGGCTCTATGCATGCACATTCTCTGTCCAAATGCTTCTTGTTAACAAGACTTGATGATACAAATGGTCTAACTTCATCCATTTCTACATTCAGGAATGTGGGCCAGGCTTTAGCTAATTTTTATAGTTCACCTTTACTGGAGATTGGAGAGTCTAAATGTCAGAACCTTCCATACCTTCTTTTTCCGTGGTTGTGTAGAGCAGAGTAAACCTGGGTGGGTTGGGTTCACCTCTGTTGGTGCTCCAGCACCACCATCTGGGCTAAAACCAGCAGGAACCTGTGAAAGCCTCTGAAATGTCTGCTAAGCCTTTGAATCCAGTGGGCTCTGGGTGGAGAATAGCCAGCACTGCTGATGACTGCCTCTTCTTTCCTTCCCTTGCACCACAGGACCCAAACCAAAACCGCATTGGCCAGTGGCTGGATGTGAGACCAAAACAGGGCATTGCAGATCTCTCTTTCCAGTTAGCTGATGAGCTCTCCCTGGGGACTTACACCATCAGTGCCCAGTCCTTTAGGTCCAGCTCAGTCCAGTCCAGTACCTTTAAGGTGGAGGAACGTGGTAAGGAGAATGAAGAAAGGGATGGAAGAAGTTGCTTGTTTGTTGCTTGCTTGTCTGTATAACGATGTAAAGCCAAATATTGCAAAATAGGATTTACTGCCTGAGAGCTGTGACTGAATGCAAATCTATGGGCAATAACAGAAATGAACACAAGGGAGATTGTGCTGGAGATTCCTGGAGAAGGTACCTTCTGGCAGATTAAGAATACATTAAAGACCTCTGCAAGACTGTTGGGGGGCAGGGGGAAAGGGATTCTTTCTTTGGTTTCCCTGCTGTTAATTAATGCTTGCTTTTAACTCATTAACACATTCCTTCATAGGAACGTACTCTTCCCTTTTGTGATCCTGTGCCCAGGTAGACTTCTGCCCTTGATGGAGTAACTCTGAGGTTTTTGTTCCAGTGTTGCAAAAGTTCGATGTTTTCTTCGAGGGACCAGCTCAGATTTATGCTTCAGATAAAACCTTCCCACTGCAAGTGTGTGGCAGGTAAGGAGAATGTTCAGGGGAAAGGAAAGATTCCATCAAAACTGTGTCTCTCCTTCCGTATGTCTCCTATATTTTCAATCCATCAAAGAGAGGTGGCTCAAGAAGGATCAAACAGAGCCATTCCTTTAGAAGAATCCCAAATAGTTCAAGAATCAAGCTAATGGCTTCTTCCTTGGGAAAGAGGTACCTGAGCTACACAGGAGAGAGAACATCCAGCTACAGAGAGACTTGCCCTAGGCAACAGATACCCTCCTCTGGAAGATGTGTCTGTTCAGCACTGAAAGATCTCATGTGGGAAAAGCACTTACCAGATATGGGACAGGCATGTTGAGGTAAAGGCACAGGAGCTGGCATTCCTGTAGCAGTTTATGCCTTTCCTTCTCACTTACGTGATGCTAAACTTATAACCTTCTTAGAAGCAGTGGATAAATTTCTCTAGTTATGTGGTTATTAGCAAAAAATGAGCAGATGAGGGTGGGAAGGAGGGCAAAACCTATGACAGTATAAACACAAAGAAGGGAGGACAATGAGTTAAAGAGCACTCAAAATTTGGTGAGCTCATTTTTATTTGGGGCTGCATTGTCTGGAGACCTTTGGTGTCTCTTTTTGCCACTGATTGGTCTGACATAATTTTTCATTAATTGGGACAGTTACAATCAGGTTATATGAGGCTGTAGCAGTAAATAGTACACACCACTCTACATCACCAGGATGGGTCACAGATGTCGTCTTTTTACTGATACCATAAGGAGCATTGCTCTAAAGGGCAAGTCAGAGAGGGGCCAAAGCAAGAAAAGGCAGCAAAGCAGGCAGAGGAAATACCTAAATGCCTAAATCAGCAGAGCAGGTCTGATGATGGAAACAAGAGCCCTGATCATGAGACAAACCCATAGTGAGGCAAGTCTGAGGTCACTCTGTGGCTCTATTACTGCAATTTGCTGTTGCTGTCTGCAGGGACACCCATTTCTGCTTGCTTTACCCCCCAAACTATCTTCACCAAGTGGATAAATCAGGCCCACTCCCTGTGTGTGCCTGCAATTCTAGGACAGCAAGTGCTCAGCAGTGGGAGAGCTCCAGAGGGTGTGGGCCTGCTCCTGTCCATTTCTGCATCTCTTCCTTTGTTCCTACATCTGTTGGATGCCAGACCATGCTATTGCACTCCCAAAGTACTCAAAGTGCTTTATTTTAATTTGTGCCTGCCTGCTTGCCAGCTGCAGTAAGACCTTTGTCACAAAAGGCACCTGTGTGGAGCGACATGTTGGACAGAGAAGGCAGTGCCTCTGCCTAGGAGCTCCTCTGGTGTTTCCCTGCAGGTACAGTTTTGGGAAAGCAGTGCGAGGGACCGTGCACGTGACTCTGTGCCAGAGAGCAAGGAGGTGGCCCCAGAATGCCAGCAAGGACATCTGTAGGGAATACAGCGGTCCCGTGAGTAAAATCCTAGAAGGTGTATGGGCAGTAAGGAAGCACCTCAGGGGATGAAGTGTCAAGGGCTGAGTGAATAGAACCAACTACTCAGAGCCCCATCCAGTCTGACCTTGAATGTTTCCAGGAATGAAGCATCCACCACCTCCCTGGGGAACATGTTCCAGTGCTTTATGAGTTCTGCATTATTTTTTGTAGTAGTCGATAGTTATGACAGAATGACTGATCCCTTGTACTTCTGACCCCTTCCCTTCTCCCAAGCACCAAATAACACCTGTCACTCCCTATTGCAGACAGCAAGCAATGGGTGTTTCACCCCTTCTGTCAGCACATCAATCTTCAATCTGACTCCCAGCGAGGAAGACAACAAACTTTATGCAGAAGCCTCTCTCCTGGAGATGGGCACAGGTACCCAGGGGCTCAGCAAGGGAAGGTACAGGGGCAAGAGGAACCATTCTGGGGTTTGAGGATTAGAGAGTGCACACATCCCCCTCTCCTCCTCCCTGCTGCTGGGATCACCACATGGGCATGGAGAGCTACTCTCCCAGCAGCAGGAGGATGAGGAGTGGCTGGGAGCTGGATGAGTGGTGTGGGTCCGTGAGGCTACAAGGAGGCTTGCAGACAGCTTAACTAAAGAAGGAGCTGCCACAGGAGTGGCCTCCAAACCTTGAAGAATGATGGTGTTGGGAAGGAAGCTACGGACACTGCTAAGAGGGGTTGGGAATAACAAAGTGAGATTAAACTACAGTGCACTAGTCACCTCTGGTAATGATCCTGCTTCCCTTGCACTCTGCATTCCAACAGGGGTGCAGATCAACACTTCCAGCCAAATCCTCATCTCCAGGACAGCTGCAAGGGCAGTATTTGAGACACCCAATGAATATTACATCCCTGGAGTACCATACAGGGGGAAGGTGATTTTCTTCCCTTGCTTTTTTGCTGCCTCTCATTTGCCAAAGAATATGATATCTAATAGATCTAGCTGACCCAAAGCATTTTCTGCTCCTCAGACAGAGTATTTTACCTTGCACTGTGTCCCATTGCTTGCCAGTGTAGCTACAGTTGCTGCATTTCAGGTTCTCTGTTGTGTTTACACTTCCAGCATCTGCTGAGAGCAATGAGTGGTGTTTCAGCAGGGATGCTGGGATGCAAGGATGTCTCAGCTGCAGGCTAGGAGAGAAACTCCTCATGTTCTAGCCACACACACCTTTTGGAGTAGACAGATTTGAACCATGCTCAACTTCACATTAGAGATGAGGGAGCTGTGCAATTCTCCTGTCTTCCTGGGGCCAGACTGAAGTCAGTAGGTGACCTACACAGGAAGGTCTGTGCTTTTTAGAGATAGGAAGGTTGAGGTATGACATTGGAAGAAATATCTGACTATGGCTTTCCTGCCTCACCCTGTTGTCACCAGATTAAGGTTCAGGATCATTATGGAACTGGTATGAAGAACAGGAAGGTTTATCTTGTGATAAGGGTCATGAGGCGTCGGTTTATCAAAACGTACATCACAGATGACAGTGGAATAGCATCGTTCAACCTCGACACAACTGCCTGGAACAGCTCATCAGTCTCTTTGGAGGTAAACACCACTTCTGCATATGTGAGAGTCCTTGAGCTCTACCTGTGCTTCCCCTCCTGCCCTGCAGCCCTGCTGCCAGCTCAGGCCTGGGCTCACCACACAGCTCTGCACAGAGCCAGTTGGAAGGCACCAGGCCAACAGCCTTTCCCAAACCAAGCTGATGACAGCCTAACAAAGCACTGAAGCATGAAACTCTTAATTTCTGTGTGTCTCTGTGCCCTGTCAGGGGAGGTTCACACTGGAGGAGTTCATGCGCGCTCCTCGAAGGACTGACTTCAGTTACACGAACGCTTACCATCACCTGCAGCCCTTCCATGTCACAACCAAGAGCTTCCTGGACATACACCCACCCACAGAAACACTGCCCTGTGGGCTGAAGCAGAACATCCAGGTGACCTTCACACTCAGCAGGGATGACCTGGGAGAAGACACCAGCCGTATAAGTTTCGCATATTATGTGAGTAAGGGTAGTAGATAACCTGGGGGGAAAGGCTGCACTGATAGGACCAGACCTCAGTGAAAAGCTCAGGATATAATTTAGGTCATCCCTGCAGGGATGACAGCTAAACCTTGTTCTCAGGGGACTGGGTGAATGCTACACCTGGTAGGGCTCAGCCTGATCCTGATCACCCTGATCCTGGTGCTAGAGCTACAGTTACCTCCATGGATAAGGAGGAGGTTTCTGTCTTTGTAGCCCATCCCCACCTTAGCCTCTGCCAAGGCTGCAGCTGGAAGCTTATTCTCCCTTTAAAACTGGTTGGGTATCCCTTTTGCACTCTGGTTTATCAAACAGCTGCTCAGTGGAAATGGATTTTGGTCTGTTCTAGAGGCCAGCCTACTAGAGGAGAAACACTTTAGTTATCACTCACCAGTCTGCAGTGAAGCCACTACCGATCCATTGTCTTCACTGAACAGACTAGACCAGAGACTCCTGTGTTAAAGCTTCTCCTCCCAACTGTCATGTCTGAAAATCTCCTCAAGTTTGGGATTGGATTGAGCCCACAGTTAATTTTGGGGGCTTTATTTTGCTTTTGAGAGCAAGATGCACATAGATAAGTGTGGATGCACTCTGGTGGCAAACAGCAGTCTGCTCATCCCATGTTCCTCCTCCTGCAGGTCACTGGCAAGTCTGGAATTGTTGTCAGGGGCCAGAGGAATATCCAGATCGGGAAACTGAACAGTAAGTCGTGGAAACAGTTGCACCAAGTTGGTTTCTAGGTTGGTCATGAGAATTGCCAAAGTTCCTTCCAAATTCCCTCAATCTATTGGCCTGGAGCAGTCAGCAAACAGGACAGAGGGAGGCTGAGGAAGCAATTGTGTCAAATATGGAAGAGGGCAAAAAGAAAGAATGAAACAATGATGAGAAGAGAGACTAGGAGGATATAGGGGAAGATGGGTCAGAGGGAAGGGAGAATGGGTCAGAGAATGGAGGGAGAGGGCAGACAGTGCACCGGCAGAAATTGGTTTGACATTTTGAGATTATATAGCACAAAAAGAAGGTGTTGGTGGGCCTATAATGAAAATATTCTGCCTTTCCTTCTTCAGTGTTGAAGGGCTCGTTCTCCATCCCTTTGACCTTCTCTGCCGACTTGTCCCCATCACCTTCCTTAGTGGTATACGCCATCTTCCCCAACGGAGGGGTCACAGCTGACAGCATCCGTTTGGATGTTGCCTTGTGTTTCCAAAACCAGGTGAGACTCACCTCTGTGGCTGGGGGAGAGCTGTTGAGCAGGAGTCAGGAGGCCTGAGGGAAGGAGACCCTTAGATCCTTCCAAGAGAGAACTGGGCAGAAGAGATAGAAGGGGTACCTGCAGCACAGTTCCCAGGGACCAGGAAAGCTTCAGCAGTGACTTCTAATAGCAGTGGCTGAGCAAAGGAGATTCCAGCTAGTCCTCCTCTTTCTAAGGGTGCCATCTGTCACCCCCCTCAGACCTCTTTCCTTTTCATATTCCTTTCCCGATGTGTGGCTCCAGGTCAAGGTAGGATTCCCAGATAAAGAAGTTCACGCAGGGTCAGCAGTGCAGCTCCAGCTGCAGGCAGCGCCCGGCTCCCTGTGTGCAGTCCAGGCAGTGGATGAAAACATGTTCTTCACCAGACCAGACCATGAGCTGACCCGCCAAATGGTGAGTGTCTGTGCAACCAGGCAAAACCTCAGGAGTGATGGATGAGCTGGGCAAGGCAGGCAGGGGCTGTGGCAAGGGGAGCTGGAGGCCAATGAATGAGGAGGTCTGTGTGTGAAGGAGAAAGCAAGGCCTGCCTAGTAAGAAGGACAGGAATTGGTGTGCATGCTAAGGGAGGATGGAGTGAAGTAACTGGAGGTATCTGCTCCTGGCTCAATCCTTCCCTGCCTGTGAGTTTCCCTAGGTCTATGGTTTGTTCCCTGCTGCCTACCAACGTGGATACCCTGCCCAAGTAGAAGAGCATTCAGATCACTGTGTGCAGCCTCAGTCCTTGTCATCTCTGCAACGAGGAAGGCCACAACATTCCTTTCAGCCTGACATCTTCAACCTCTTCCGGGTAATCACCTCATGATGTTTCCCAGAGCTGTAGCAGTTATGTGCATCTGAGGTATTTTCTCCCCAAGCAGTCTGAGAGGGCCTTTTCTCCTTCAGACAGACCCTGCTGTCTGCCCCAACTGAACTGTGTTGTCTCAAAAGATGTACTACTCCACTGAGCAGGAATACTTGTATTTCCCTCCACATGTGCACAAAGCAAGGCGATGAAATCCTGGACCAGCAAACTCCATTTTTTTGGACTTGAATGGGAATAAGGAACGAGGTCCTGGCTGTGTACTGTTTGTCTACAGTATTAGAGAAAAGAGAGGGAGTGATCCAAATTGTTAGACCACGGGTTGTTGGCATGGCTTAGTTGTTAGCTGCTCTTTGCCACTGTTTTGGGCAGGTACCAGGCAGACCTCTAGGGCAGATCTCCATGCCTCCCTCAGCACTCTGTCTGCTTGGGCCAGTACTGCTCTGGGCTGCCTGGGCACTGGGTTGTCCTGACCCCCATGGTTTCTAGAGTAATTTGAAGATCATCAGTCAGTCTTCCCTACTCACAGATGCTTTTCTGCCTTCCCTGCCCTCCCTCTTTTCCTAATAGAACATGGGACTGAAAGTGTTCTCAAACCTTGTAATCAAGAAGCCCCCTCAATGCTCCCGTCGGATGGATAGGAAGCCAGTTGTAGGTGAGATGCACTTTGAGCCTACCTGAGACATGAGATCTTTGGGGTTTGTTGGTGGTGGATGTTGTCTCTCTTACGAGTACCAGGTGCTGCTGCCACAGTCCACCAGACTCACTTCAGTAGAAGTGACCTAGTCTCCATAAAAAAAGGGCTCTGAAGGCTGTCACTGCTTGGATGTTCCCTGACACTAAAGGATGACACTCCCTTTCCTCACAGACAAACCCAAGTGAGGCCCAGGATCTGTTTCCCAGTGTCTATTCCCATTCCTCAGGCTGTACTGAGACCCAGCTTCTGTCCCCATTTGTAGCCACAGAGACAGCCATGTTCCTCTGTGTCTCAGTTTGCACTTATCAAGTGCAACTGTACTCAGCTGGCTCATGTGCCTACCTGTATTTAAACCATTGCTTGCTGTGGAAAGTGAGCTTTGTGCAGCAAATAAACAGTACTATTACTCACAGAATTATGGAAATGTTGGTTAAAATGGCTCTCTGGAGGTTCTCAGTCTCTTAATCAACAACTCTAGGTCAAGTCAGGAAAGGGCTTTGTCTAACCAAATCTTGGAAACCTTGCAATCAGCTCACTGCAATCTGCTTCTCCTGCTATCACTCTATTTTCCCTTCATTTCTAATCTCTCCCATGAAATCAGTCCAGTCCCTTGTGCTTTCCTCTGTCAGACTCTCATATGTCTCTCTTACTGCTTGCTTTGCCTCCAGCCCCACTGCTAGACTGTCTATGGTTGGCAAGATTCACCTCTCCCACTCTGGTGGGACTCCTTACTCTTTCCTTCAGGGGTGCCTTCTGCAGAAGACCAAACAATCAATGAGGAACAACCCCAATTTACAACTCACAGAAGATTTCACCACTATTTCCCTGAAACTTGGATCTGGAATGTGTACTCTGTTGGGTAAGTGAGTCCTGACTTTACAAATGGACAGAAGGATGACCCTTTGCTATAGAGATATAGAGACTTGGCTGACTTGAGTTTGTGAAAGAGGTGCAAAGAGACCTCTGTGTGCAAATTATGTGGCTCTTCCCTGCATTTGTAGAGTGTCAAACTCGTAGACTTTGAAGTGCAGAACTGAAGTGTACACAGATTTAAGGAACAGGAGAACACTTCCAGACAAAACCACCATGAGTGTACACAGCTGGAACAGATGGAATGCTTGGGCAGTGTCTTGCTCAGAAGGACATAAATCCTTTACTGATGGCATTTAAGGGAGGTTTATGGCTCTAGGGAAAAAATTGCTAAGAAATGCCTTGCTGTGAGCCACTGGAGCAAAAGTCATTGGCAATACAGCAGAGGTTGATCCAAGCATGAGGACCTGTGTCACCTCCCTCAGCAGGGCCATGAGACTCCTCGTTGCACCTCCACCCTCTCCACTAGCAGATGAATCTCTTCATGCAAGTTCTCTCTTCCTCTCAGCTCCAATGGCAGCAGGAATGTCTCAGTCACAGCACCTGCTGCTGCTGCAGAGTGGAAAGTCAAGATGTTCTGCTTGGCTGGGAGGGGGTTTAGCCTTGCCCCGACCATGAGTCTCAGAACAGTTCAGTCCTTCTTTGTGGACATGACACTACCATATTCCGTCATCCGTGGGGAGACCTTCCTGATGAAAGCCACTGTCTTCAGCTACCTGCAGCAGTGCATAGAGGTGTGTGCCTGTGCCACAGGTAACACTGTGTGGGACAGGCCTACTCTGCCCTCCAGTTTTAGAGCTCATCGTGCCATCTCACCTGAGTTGCCCAGTCACTCATCTGCATTTGTCATTCCCTCAGATCCAGGTAGCCCTGGCTAAATCCTCAGACTTCCAGGTGGAGCCATGTCAGACTTGCAGAGACAAGGAGTGTCTGTGTGCAGAGGAGTCCAAGACCTTCATGTGGAATGTCACAGCAGTCCAACTGGGTATGGCAGCAAAAAGGGACTGGTGATGGGGAGCCCTAAAATTGAAATGAAAGGGTATGGGAGGTCCAGAGAAGTTGCCAGAGCTAGGTCTCCTCTGAATCCTGAGATTTGTCCTTAATGGTGCAAACAAGCAATCCATTATGTTTGCTTTCTTTCTCTCTTCTTAGACAGACTTCTCTCTTCTTAGACAGAGAGGGCAGGAACTCCTGAAGAGAGGGCTGTGAGACCAGCTGGGGAGGAGGAGACTGCATGGATGTGGGTGGGGGAATTTTGTGTCGCTGGTCCTATGCTTCATATGCAATAGGAAGGGTATGCTGGGGTCCAAGGGCTGCTGGACCCTCTATTGTTCAAGTCAGTGAAGTCACTGCTGGTGAGACATTACTGAGCTTTCTCATGCTCAGGGTGTCTGAACAATCTGTCAACACCGTCTGGCTCACCTTCACTGGCCAAGACACTGAGGCCATGAAGACCAACAACCCAAAGCATCTCAGGCCACTATTGGTTAAAAAAAGTTTACTCCATTTATCCACAGGTATAAGAAAAGGACTCTGTTAAATTTATTTGCTAGGGACTCTGAACATCTCAGTGAGGACAGAGGTACTGGACACCACGTCACGGTGTAGGGGCAGGAAGCCTTTGCCAGCTGCTGTGAGGGGGAGGCACACACTGACCAAACGCTTGCTGGTCCAGGTCAGTATGAGAACAGCCTCATTTCAGTCTATGGCATCCCTGCCCAAGGGGGAAGGCACACTGAGGTGGGCTAAATAGTTTTATCACCTCAAATTTTGGCCAGCAGAAGCATACCAAAGCTGTGGCTTAGTTCACTTTATTTCTCCCAGGACCTAGCCAAGCCTATTCTTGCAGTACACTTTCTTGAGCTGCATTCCCAAGTCTGTGTTTCTCCCTGTACCTTTCCCTGCTTTTCATCCACACATGCTGTACCTGAGCTTTTGTATGTGCTCACTGGCCAGAGAGCCCTGTCCTTTGGGCTTACTCTTGATCCTTTGTGCAGTGAAGCAGGCAGACTTGCCAAAAATGAGGAAGCTGGAGTCCCTGACCTCTGAATTCAGACTTGAACTTTCTCTGAAATATTGCTGTCATTTGGGAATTTTATGTGTATTTTTGTTTCTCCATATCCCATGTGCATGTTTCTGCCCTGGCAGCCAGAGGGTGTGTTAGTGGAGAAGTCCTACAGCTCCCTTCTGTGCCCAAGAGGAGGTATGTGCCTGAGAGGAGGTATGTGCACAGACTGAATGGGCTCTGCAGCCTGAAATAATTATACCTGAAAGTAGAATTAAACTGTGGGAGATCTCATGACAGAATGTTTTGAAATTATTTTTCACATAGGAAATTTCATTTCCTATCAGCCACAAATGAATAAGAAATATTACTCCCACATGCGCTGTCCTACATGAATTTGCTGATGAGTGTTAGTGGCAAAAACCTGCTCTGTAGTCTCCTTCCCACAGTGCAACTCTTGGATGTTCCTGGGGCTCAACAGTCACCAGTGAGAGGTGCTCCAACCCTCCCACCCTGTCCCTGCAGCATTGCAAATCTTGCTAGGATGTCCTCGATTTGAGTGATGTCCAGCTGTGATCCTTGTGAGCCTTCTGAGGTGAAGTGAATTGAGCTGAAGTGAAGCCTGGCAGGCCCCTGGCCCCACCAGCAGCTCTCATGTATGGCCTAATCTGAAAAGCTTCCAGGCAATGCACCTCAGTGCCATGCCCAGGACAGTCGGTGTGAGCGGGATGTAGGCAGTGTCCCACTTACCTGGGCCAGTCTTGTCTCTCCAGTTAGGGGCTTTTGGCTTGGTGTTTCATGCTGCACCTTTTATCCTATTGTTATCAGGAAACGTGGCTGAGGAACCCGTGTCCCTTCGTCTCCCTAACAACGCAGTAAAGGCATCTGCCAGGGCTTCCATTTCTGTCACAGGTAAGTGACTTCTCCTGTGGGCTCACAGATTGCTGGTCTGTGTCAGAGCAAGGCTCTGGTGTCAGAGGATCCACTTGACATGAAACTGCCCAAAAGAGTGCATGCTGTATTTCTATTCCCTGCAAACACCAGGCATTCAGATTTCTGGCTTTCATGGGAAGAGTAATCTGCACAGGAGAATAATCCTCCTTTTTCTAGCTAGGACCTTGGAGCAGAGACTTTGGACCTTGGCTATTTCTGTGTAGATACAGTAAAGCTCGAAACAGTAAAGCTCAAAACCATGCTACAGCAGAAGCTCCTAGAGAGAAGAAATCTTTCTCAGCATTATAAAGTTGCAAAGGAACTTTGGAGAGGGTACTGGGACTAGTCATACCTACCATTAAATACATCTATTTGTATTGCAGGCCAGACTGGTATGAAGCCAGGCCTGGCATAAATAGCCATGAATACTGTGCAACAGAACCCAACAGAGGTAAAAACACAAGGCTTTTCTGACTGGCTGGAGGATGTATGGACACCTTCACACCATCTGACTAGCACCCCTTCTGGTTTCTTCACATTTTGATGCTTGACATATGGCCAGGTAGAACAGGCTTGGCTAAAGACCTGGCATTTCAACCTTTCCCTGAGTGCAGTTATATTTGCTTGTCTATGTGACACAGATTGAGCAGGCACAGCTCTGCTGACAGCCTTTTGCAAACAGTATTTGTTCTAGCTGGAGCTCTTCAGAATGCAAAAGCTGACAAGGGAACTTATCTCCAGACACTCCATAGAGTTGTCATGATGCCAAGCTGGAAAGAGGCAAAACAGTCGCCACTCTCCATCTTGCACTCAGTTGTTTACTCCTCTTTCCTCCTTTCTCCAGTGCTTTCCCCCTGCTGAGATAAAGCACTGTTATCCCCTGCCTGGCTGAAAAAGCACCTCAAATAATCTTTACACGTCCTTCGCTTTTTACACCCTTGGATAGGTGACCTCATGGGGATGGCACTGCAGAACCTGGACCACCTGGTGCAGCTGCCCCACGGCTGTGGGGAGCAGAACATGGTGCTGTTTGCCCCCGTTGTCTATGTGCTGCAGTACCTGGAGAAGACGAGGCAGCTGAGCCCCGAGATCAAGGACAGGGCAACAGGATTCCTGCGCAATGGTGAGTACAACAGACCCACCTTGTGCCTCTGCCTTCCCCTGTGTCCAGCATACCAGTAACTCTTGCCCTTGCACCCACTCTGTCAGCACTGTCCCCTCTGTGTTACTATGCCCTATTAATCACTGTTCCCATCTCCCCAGGGTATCAGACACAACTTCTTTACAAGCACACAGATGGCTCCTACAGCTTCTTTGGGCAGAAGGATGGAGAAGGAAACACTTGGTAAGCACTGCAAACATCTCTTACTTCTGATTTTTCCTGTCTGGGTCAGAGGACATAATGTATTTGAGAAAGCTGACAAGATGCTCCTTCTTTGGGATGGACACAGAAGAAACTCCCTGACAGGAAGAGTCTGAGCAGACTTGGAAAACTTGGAAAAGCAATCAGGCAGGGCAGCAGAATTTCTGGGAAAGTGGAACAGCAAAGATGTGGTCCCAGGGAATGAAAGACCTTTTTTTTTTGTCTCTATGCCACTGCTGTTGGCCCACAGATAGCATCAGGTCATGCTAGTGGTGGCCTGGCAGCAAGAGGGGTACACATGTCTGGAAAAAAATCAGGTAAGAGCAATAAAAAAATCTTCTCCTCCGTGAGTGAAGAGGAGCTGCCTTGGCACAGCATACATCTATGGTGCTTGGCTAAGATGAATGGAGAAAGGAAGGGAGGAAGAAACTGGGGAATTCCAGATTGTCCCTAGTAATTTGGGGGTGATAACATGGAACGGGTAAAAGTAGAAGGAGTAGGAGGGTTTTCACCTGTGAAATTACTAAGTAGTATGTAAGTAGCATATCTGTAGAGACAGAGGCAGGGAAAGGAGCCACTGGGGTGGGTCCTGTGGACCATTTCCACTTTTAGATTGACTTTCTTTATGAAAATTACTCTTTTTTGCACCCCTACTATGTCACTAGCTCAGGGACAAGCACCAGGAGACCTCTGACTGTCTCTTTGTCTTTTTTTTTTGTTTACCTCTTTTTCTTACAATGCATCCCTCTTTCTAGGTTGACAGCTTTTGTACTCAAGAATTTTGGCCAAGCCAGAAAATACATCTATGTAGATGACAAGAACATCCAGGATGCCCTACGCTGGTTAGAGCAAAACCAGCTCCCCAGTGGCTGCTTTGCCACCAAAGGGAACTTTTTTCACTCCTCCCTGAAGGTAAAGGTGGGCCAGGCAGGTAGCACTGCTGGGGAATGGCTGGAGAGATTTTTGACAGCAGAAGACTGTGGGATCTCAAATGATCCTAGAAAGTCATTCTGTAACCTGTGCAAGTCCTAAAGAGGGGGAAAACATGAGAGGAATGCTTTTCCTTCTGAGGAGTGGGTCCTCCTAACACCCTGTAAGAGTGAAAGATGTGTTCCCCTCACAGGGCAGCATGGATGATGACATTTCTCTGGGGGCCTATGTCGCTGCAGCACTGCTGGAGATGGGTCTGCCACTGCAGGTGAGCACACTCAGCTTGCTCCTGCTCCCTCCTGCTCTCCTGGGCACCACCATGGGGCTATGCCAGCTTGTGATTCTGGTGTTCTCCAGGCTAGGAACTGGGTGGGAACTTCCAGGAATGAGTCAATGTTTGGTCAAATGATGAAGTCATTCCTCAAAAGAGCCGGTGTTGTGAAACTGGCCTGATGCAGTAGTGCTTGGTGGCAATGGCTCCCAGTGCACACCAGGGCTGCACTGCCTGTTTTCTGAAGACAGTCTGTAAATTAATGGGTTTCTCTGGACCTACATTGGGAAAATGAATAGAATAGAATAGAATAGAATAGAATAGAATAGAATAGAATAGAATAGAATAGAATAGAATAGAATAGAATAGAATAGAATAGAATAGAATAGAATAGTTCCCCAGCCTCTATTTCACCCCTGTCAGAGTTTGGCACATGTCTCCTCCCAACACAGGGCAAGCTGATGCAGACTACTCTCCACTGCCTGCAGAAGGTGGTTCACAACATCACCAACATCTACACAGAAGCCTTGCTGGCCTATGCCTTTGCCCTGGCTGGGGATTATGAGACAACCCAGGAGCTGCTGTACAAACTGGAGGAACAGGCCATCAAATCAGGTGCTGCCTGCTGGAGTAATGTATGCCAAGCTACAGCAGTCAAAAATGATATATGTATTGATATATAATATATTTATATATAAGATGCTCCTTGTATTTTGCAATAACTGCATTGTGTGACTGAAAATACAATAAGGTATTTCACAAACTATGAGAGTGACTTAGAAATTGTTTCCTCACACTGGAGGATTTCAAAATCCCTTTGAGGGAGGAGATAGGAGTCTGTGAGCTAAAACAAGGTGAAGCCTTGGAGAATAAATTCAAGAAAGCAATCCTGGCCTGAGTATAGCGAATGTACTGAAGGAGCCCTGAAAGCACTGTGGGGTTTGTTTCCTCTGAAAACCCAAATTATGTCCTCCCTAAATAGCCTTCATAATCCTTTTCCTTCTGCAGGAGGACAAATCCACTGGAGCCCCAAGCCAAGCTCTCCAGCTTCCACTGACTTCTGGCCTGGCACTCAGTCAGTGGACATAGAGCTGACAGCCTACGTGCTCCTGGCGTACCTCTCCAAGCCACGGGTGCACGCCGGCGACATGACAACTGCAGCTGGCATTGTGGCCTGGCTGACGCGGCAGCAAAATGCCTACGGGGGTTTTGCCTCCACCCAGGTAACCAGCAGATCCCCGTGGATCCTTTCATACCCTAGGCTGGCAGCACAAGCCCTCTTGAGGAATTCCTCTTCCAAGACAGTTCCATTACGGCTGATGCTTTCAGAGGAGTGACTGTCTCTCTCCCTCTCAGGACACAGCTGTTGCCTTGCAAGCCTTGGCGAAATACGCAGCGAGGACGTTCAGCACCTCAGGCCAGGCAGTGGTGAGGGTGAGGTCCCCGAGGGCCTTGGGGAAGGCATTCCAGGTCAGCCGGCAGAAGCGGCTGCTGGTGCAGCAGGCAGCGCTGCTGGAGATCCCGGCGCAGTTCCTGCTGCAGGCCCACGGCAGCAGCTGTGTCTCCGCTCAGGTGAGGGGGTGGATGAGTGTGGGGGCAGGACTCTGCCTCTTTTCTCCTGCATGAGATCATGCCTGGCCTGTCTTTTCTGCTCCTGGCCCTTACCCTGCAGACAGTGCTGAGGTACCACGAGCTTTCCCCACGGACTCCTGTGATCTTCACGCTGCGTGTCAGCACAGAGCTGAGCAACTGCAGCCAGGCGAATCCGCGCATCCTCACCGCCCGCATCCTCGCCAGGTGCCTCCAAGGGCTGCTTTCTCCTCCAGCGGGATGGAGTGAGCTTGGGAACAGCAGCCAGGAAGGGCTCAGGGCTCTGGGAGACACCCAGCCCGTGGGGTGAACAGGACAGAGGGTGAACGGACAGGTGGAGGGTGCTGGCTAACTCCTGTGAGAGGGAGAAGTGGCTGCCAAGCCCCCAGTCCCAGAGGGATACCTGGCTCAGAGTGTGGTGGTGGAGGGAAGAAAGGCTGGGAGGGCACTGTCCTCAGCGAGTCAGACTCTCTGTCTGTTTTTTCTTCTCCAGCTACATCGGGAGCAGAGTCACATCCAACATGGTGATCATAGAGGTCTCCCTGCTATCCGGATTCATCATGACTTCCAGATCCAGAATGTTGGTAAGAACTTTGGAAGAAGGAAACCCAGCTATGGTAAATGGATCCTGCCTGCTTACTCCTGTTGAGAATTGTTGATTCCAGGCCAGGTGGTAGCTAAATTTGCAGGAGACCTTTGCTGTTGCAATTGCACCAAAACCTCTTGTTTTTTTACAGCCCCCCCAAGGGAGATCAGAGGTGGTTCAGCTTCTCCCACTGCCAGTGTCTGGACTTGGGCCAGGAACAAAGTGTACTGCTGGGTGTGCTGACACCAGGATTTGTTTGTCAGAAAGTCTAAGACAGGATTTCTCAGAGATATTCTATCTCTAGCTAAAAATATTCTTTTGTTTTCCAATTAAATCATAAATTAAATCACAGCCCCCATGCAGGTCTTTAAAAGCAGTTGAACACTCAGTGATGTGAAATAAGAATCTCTACTGGTGCCTGCACCCATTTGCTGACCAACATATCAATAATACGTACTACACACACAGCCTTTGGTCCCCAGAGTGGGGAGATTCCTCTGCCCTGGGCAGGGTCAGTGTGCTTCATACATGAGATGCTCACAAGGGATGTCCAAAAGGGACTAGCAAAGATATAACCATTGAGAAATGCACAGTTCCACACAGAGTCCAGCTCATACCTTCCCCTCACCAAAACACTGGCTCTGTCAGGTCAGGAATCCCTAAGGAAAATACTCACACATTTCATTCTATTATTGTTTCTTATCCTAGCTGGAGAACAGAACAATTGTTAAGAAAATAGAAGTGAAAGCTAATGTGGTCTACATTTATCTGGAGAAGGTAAGTGAGAACAAAATTATTTGGTGTGGCACAGTGAGAGCAAAAAGTCAGAGGACAGGGAGCTGTATGAGAAGCCTGAGACTAGTCTAGGTAAGAAAAGAACTCTGGTAGAATTGGGGGCAGAGGAAGTTTGCCCAATTTCATTGTCATTAGATTAGAATATTCCTAAACAATATTGTGAAAATTCCTAGCACAATATTGTGTGCAATTCCTCACACAATACTCCATTTTAAAGTCTAGAATCTCTAATGGATTAGAGAACTATAGTGCAGGAAACAATTCAAATAAGGGAAGATGAAGATGCTGTGACTTTTTCTCCTATTCCTTGCTAATTTCCTTCCATCTCCACTAGCTCAACGATGAATCTCAGACTTTTATTCTGCAACTGGAACAAGTAATTCAGGTGAAGAACCTGAAACCAGCCAGCATCAAAATCTATGATTACTACCAGCCAGGTGGGTTGCAGATTTCCTACTATTTGTGGGTGGGGAGCTGGGTTCCTGATTCTCTGGCTGGGAAGAGACATACAGTCTTCTCTGTGTGCATCCATGTGTAATCTCCTTCTTCCTTTCTTTTTGCAGAGGAGCGAGCCTTGGCTGAATACAATGCTGTCTGTAGTTGAGGTAGGCAGCAAATTCCTGTGTGACACCAACAGTGGCATCAAGAAATGGTGGGTCTTGGGCGGGAAACATTAAATATAAGCAAACACAGGAAGGGCAATGGTAAGCAGCGGGGAATGTACCCAGCTAGAAACAGGAAGTATCTGTTTCTAGGAATATGGATCAGCTTTTTTAATGCTCTATCTCCTCCTGTGCACATCTGCACCTGGAGGGGCAGGGTTTTGTACATAAGCAGAGTACATAAATTCTCTATTTCTCCCAGCTGCTCTTAAATGCAATTTTCCTGGTTTGGGAGAAAACCAGTAAACCTGAATAATCATTCAACCAGACAGTTCTAGTCTTCTACTTTTAATAAGATGCCACACACAGTCTGAGCCTTCCAGAAACTAACTGCTCAGCAGGAAATTCCAAGCATTTTCTCTTTTCTTCGTATCTACATGTGGTGACAGTTGGCAGGGGTGACAAAGGACTGATGAGCAGAGACTGCATAGGAGGGATATATCCCTGTTCCTGTGAAGACAATAAAGGACAAAAAAAAAAAAAGTTCCTGAAGTATTAAAACTAACTACTGGGAACTTAGGGGCCTTTTCTGTACCTTGTGACAAATGGTACTGTCAGGCCAAGGACAGAGCTCTTACCACCCAGAGGGTGGTTGGGCACTGGAACAGGTTTCCCCAGGAAGTGATCACAGCACCAAAACTGACAGAGTTCAAGAAGCATTTGGCCAGTGCTGTGAGGCACATGGTGTGACTCTTGGGGTTGTCCTGTGCAGGGACAGGAGCTGGACTCCATGATCCTTGTGGGTCCCTTCCAACTTAGAATGTTTTATGAGCTAAGATTCTCTCTTACTTTATCTATACAAAGCTTACGTCAGAATCTTTCGTAAGGGTGTGGAGCTTGTGGCAAACATCCCAGGACAGGGCTGTGTGCCTCCCTCAGGTGATTCACGGAGCAGGTGGTTTTCCCAGTCTTGTGGGCTGTGTGCAGGAAAGCACACAGGTGCAAGGAAAGTTTAGAGCAGGGACTGGTGCTGGTCAAGCTTAAGCTTTGTCTTTGCTCAGCATGGAAAGAGGATGGGCAGGGGTCCATTCTCTAGTGTGGATCAGAAGGCAGGCTGAGATGGAGGAAGGCTTGGCATTGAAACGTGGCCAGGCCCTGCAGTAAGGGTGAGCATGGCATGTTGTGTACACAGGGCTGGAGGGATGTGAAACCACAGGGAAAGTGCCAGGAAAGGGAACTGTGGTGACTTGAATAAAGTGTATTTTTATGCAAAGGGCCAGGACTGGTGATAGTACTTGGTACATGCAGTCCTTGTTTTCTAAAACATATCTTCAGCTTTGTCATGATCTTGTCACATCAAATCTTCTACTTAAGTTCTCTTTCCCTCAGTTTAACCACTGGGATAGAACTCATCCTTACTTGGCATTGCAAATTGCTTTCTACCCTGGACCTGCAGTCTGGCAAGTTTCTTGACCAAGGGCTTTGCCTGCATCTCCCTACCTTTCCATATTCTTCAGGACCATGCCTGTGATAACAAAAGAGGTGTTGGGCCCTCACCTCACTTGCATGGGACACTGTAGCTCATCATTGCAGTTTCTTCTGGAAGACAAGAAAGAAAGTGCTGGTGAGGCACATTGTCAAAAACCCAGAAAAGCAATCCAGAATTGTGCCACTGTTCCTAGGAGAGATGTTCCCTCAGTTTACAGGCTACAACTCCCTCTATGTGACAATGTGACACATGAAACCACTGGTGTGTGCCCATGCCTCTGCAGCTGGTCAGGATTCACACAAGGCAAGAGGCTGCAAGTCCCAGAGAGGCCCATCACAGTTATGAATGCTTCACTTGCTGAAGGAATAGCAATCCCTGACTCATTTCTAGCTTTTCTTCCCACTAGGAACCCCACAGCACAGAGGACAAGTTGGTTTTGGTTTTATTCTTCTAAGGGGGCCATTAATCTTCTGAATCATCCCCCCACTATGGTCCCTCTGCCTTTTCTGTCTCTGACAAAATAAGTGCTCAAAAGCACAGCTCATTGCTCCACTCTTGTTGGGAGAGCCAGAGCCTCAGTGATTCTATACACCAGCTTCAGGCCTGCAAGTTCTGGAACCAGAGGGAGGAGGAACTACCATTTTGAAAACCAACAGGTTAAGTTCATGCCTAGAGAGCTTCTAAGGGACAGTCAGATAACCATGTCAGAGATGGTAATATCTTAGACTCGATAAAACTCAGAAATTTTCTTTCCAGAAGTACATTTGGATGGTTTTTGCAGCATCTGAGCTCACCTGGCATATAGTAATCATAGATCTTGATATTGGCTGGTTTATGATCCTTCACTTGCATGTCCTGCTCCACCAGGAAAGTGTAGGTTTGAGGCTGTCTAGTCAGCTAAGACCAAGAAATGTAAGGATTAAAAACAGAAAAAGACAAAAAAGTCCTGTAAGACAACCCCTTTCACCTACTTGCACTCAGGCTCTGTAGAGACCTCACCACTGTAACACATCTATTCTGCTTTCTAGTCCATCTCAGAAATATCTTTTACTTCCCATTCTATCTCCCCTTTATGGTCACCAAATTTAACTCAGCTCATGAGGAACATCAAAAATCTACGGAGTCAGTGTGCACTACCTAAATGGTGTGCTAGTGTTCCCACCAATCCCACCTTCCCATCCAGCTCTACACTGAGCTCCTTCATGCACCTGGCCTCAGTGGCTACTTTCTTATTCACAGTGACCACAGCTCTTATTCTCCAGTCTCACATAACCCTCATCATTCAGCAGACAAATACAGGCTGTGGACAAACATCTGCTGTAGGGTAGTGGTTACATGACCTGCTGTTGATTGCAGTGCACCTTGTGTTACCTGGCAGCTTGAGCTGAAATATTTATCTGTATCTTCTGCTCTGTGCTGTAGATGTACTGAAAGAAGCAGCTTTGCAAGCCTAATGCATCCATGTGACACTAAGCCACTTCTATGAGGCCAGCTTAGCTCAGCCTACTGACAGAAACTGAGGATGAAGAATCACAGAAATGCTCCTTAGAAATGCTGGAGTTTTAAATACATGGCAGGTCTCATTTCTGGTGCTGTTTAGGTATTCATGGAGATAGAAAAAGGCTGGAGTGGTTGTTAAACTGTTCATTCATGAGGCTGTGGAGTGAACACTTCTGTTCACACAACCATCTGGTTTACTTTCAAATGAACTTGGCAAAATCCATGAGCAATCTTGCATGCTCTCTGCTGCATTCAGGTTGCTTAAGACTTTCTAAGACTTCATGCTTGCTTGGATTTGCTAGGTGGATCTTATTACTACTCCCCAGTCCTACTCAGGCACCATATATATGGACTTTCAATAGTCTCTAACAGTGCCAACAGATAGGCTTAACATGAGAGTTTTCCTTGTTTCACTCAAGTTAAGTAGTCCTGTAAGTGGCTCTACAGATGAACAACTGCCAACTGACATTTCTCCAGATCAGCAAATGTGGCTGGTATGCAGGAACAACAGCTCTGGAGAGTTGAAACAGTAATGAAAACAATAAACAAGAATAAAAGCTGTCAGTCCATAGCCCCTTTAAAGATGCCCAAATTACACTCACTTCCTCCAGGTAGAGAACGACTTGGCCAGCTTTGCTTTCAACTTTCTTCACTAAAGGCATTTTCTTTAGCTGAAAATAGGAGAAAAAATATCAGAAAGGCTTTAATAAAAAGCAGAAATATTCAGGGGTATTTGTCCTTGTGAGAGGATGGGCAAATATTTATATGGCCAGGGAAACTGTTGATGTAGGGAAAGGCAAGGAGCAGCTTGGAAGAGAATAACCCTGTTTCTCTGCCCACAGGAATGATCACATTTCAGCATACAGTCCTGCATGATGGACATCCATCACTGTTCCCATCCCAGCTGGACACAAATTCGCAGTCTCACCTCTTCCAGTGAACCTGCCACGGGGCTGTATCCAGACAGCAGCTCCACTTGGATCAGGACCATGTTGGTGGACACACGGTTCCCTGTGTAGCTGCAGCAGGAACCCAGGGGACAGCACTAATGTTACTTTCTGAGCCATGATCTCCAGATACTCCAGCCCAGCTTTGGTACTCAGGTGGAGGAATGTGCCTTTCTTTCCAGTGTTTCTCCTGTAAGCATACCTGTTTCTACACTGTAATAAATCTTTGTGCTTCCCTTGAGCTCACTTTTAATTGTGCCAAGGACAGTATGTTCCTTGGAAGCCTTCTGGTGTTACCTACTTTAGGCATGGCAGGGAATATCACATCCTGTGCCTGTTCTCTTGGCAGTTCTGTCCCAAATCAGGCAGGAGTACAGCAGAGGAGAGTGGTGTGACAGTCAGCCAGGAGCAGAAGAGGGAACACTTAGGAGTATGTGGCAGCCCCACAGGACCTTCACATCATCAGTGTTTTGAGACCTAATCCTAGAAGGGGCTGAGACCCACAGACCTTGGTATAATTCCGTGGTGAGTGGCATAGAAGAAGACAGAACTACAGCCTGAGCCACCCCTCTGGGGCCTTGTGCCTCTCCCAGCTGGGGAGAGCACAGCGGGGTCACCTCAGCACTTGGACCCCACGAGTGAAGGGGAACCCTGCCAGCAAGAGACTGGAATGGTGCCAGAAGTCTCTCAGCACAGGGGAGGAAAGGGGAAACCGAGTGTCTCCTACCGAGCACGAATGGTGACGGGGAAGCGGGAGGCGTCGGGCACGGTGCACTCCGTCTGCACAGATACAGCAAAGGTTGCCTCGCTCCTCAGTGGAGGGATGTGGTACCTCAGGATGGCCTGCCAGGAGAGAAAGAAGCTGGATGGCAGAGAATAGCAGGGGGTTCTTTGCTGGAGAGTATTCTTGTCTAGACTAGCTACTGTTTGCTGTCTTGTATTGGTGTAAGAGAAAAACATGTGACAGAAGCAGAGGTTCTCCTAGTAGTGCACTGCTCCTGGTGGATTTCTTGGAGGAAAGAAGCTGCTCTGGCTGGCTGGAGATGATCCAGATTTCATCTGGGCA